TAATATAATAATAATAATAATAATAATAATAATAATAATAATATAATAATAATAATAATAATAATAATAATAATAATAATAAGAACTGCCATTAAATGAAATGATTCCTTCTTAGCCTACAAGCAAAATCTTCCTCGGTTAACCGCTGAATATCAAAACAAAAATGCATTCTTCCTCACCGGCTTAATCCACACGACGATGTTTAACGGGCCAATGGGCACAAATACGGAAAAAACGAAACTGTAATAAATACCGCTAGCACCTATAACCGCTCTTAGCCGAACTGCCAAAATGAATTTTCAGAAGCAGTCTACCAAAACATGAGTTCCAACGGCAGTAGCTGCAACGCCCAGATTGAGTCTCCTAGTTCGCTCTTTTTAACACAAAAATCGAAACGCTTTTCTGAAAGATGGCCCCACCATACGTGTACACACACAGACACAGACATACGCAAAAGCAAAAGTGGCATACACGCGGACATACACACACACACACACACACACACACGCACACACACACACACACACACACACACACACACACACACCACACACACACACACACACACACACACACACACACACACACCGCATACACACATACATACATTCCTACAACACAACAGTGTACAAACAAACAGACACACACAGACATACGTTCGAAAATATATACGCAACCATACATACAAACGCATACATACACAAACACAAAACAACAAGAACACACACAAACCCATTCACTAACTCACTTACTCACATACACACAGAAATACATACACACACAGACGCAGACACAAACACACATGGTGTCCTTATTGTTCAGCCAGCAAACTTCTCAACCTCCGTAGTTTTTTCAACAGCAACGGAAAAGCAAAACGAGAGAGTCGACAACAACTTCAACCTACAATCTCCCCTTTTTCATCCCGCCCTAGCTATTCCCCACTTCTTTCAGTATCATCTGCTTAAAAACAACAGCAACGTTACAAACAACTGCTTACACAGCTACAGAAACGGCAACGGCCAACAAAAAAAAGACGTATGTACAGTTAGTTACCACCTGCCAGGACCAGAATCCGGTGACGTCAGAGAGACACAGGGCTGCAAGAAAATGCTTGTAACAGGAGAGAAAACTACAATGTCAACAACGTAACTC